TAATTCACTAAGCTATCTTTCCAGGTCCCAGTGAGTTTGATTTTTGAGCAGAGAAATCAGATATGTTGAGACAAAAATGGAAATTGGTCGAAGTACAGAGATGGGTTAGTCTAAGCCAGAGGTGAGGGTAAAAGACATGTTATCCCAGGCTAGTCCTATGTCCAGTGGGTTCTGGGCAGAAGAATGTTCTGGTTTAGAGATATGTTATCCCAGGCTTGTCCTATGTCCTGTGGGTTTGGGGCAGCTGAATGGTCTGGTTTAGAGACTGAGGGGGGTTATTTAAAGTGAGACCAATTGCTCAGAGGACTGATGGAGGAGAGACCACAGTCCTTCAGTGGTAAATCTGTGTTTTCTACTTAGCCCAGGCTGGCTTTCATCTCTAAGCGATCCTCCTACTTCAGTCAACAGTGGCTGTTTTGGGTGTTGCATATAGGTAATAACATTCATATTTATTCTGTATAGTAGTGCCAAGTGCTGTGTTAGGAACTGGGGAAGGAGATTATGGTGGGTAAAACAGACAGAAGTCTTTGTAAGGAATTCTTTAAAAAATATTTTTAGCCAGCAGTGGTGGTGAACGCCTTCAATTCCAGCACTTGGGAGGCAGAGGCAGGTAGATCTCTGTGAGTTTGAGGTCAGCCTGGTCTACAGAGTGAGATCCAGGACAGGCACCAAAATTACACAGAGAAACCCTGTCTCCAAAAACAAACAAATAAAAAAAATTAAAACAATGTATGTGTGTGTGTGTGTGTGTGTGTGTGTGTGTGTGTGTGTGTGTGTATGCACTCACGTGCGTGGGGCATCAAACCCAGAGACTTGTGCATGCTGGAGAGGTCTCTTCTCCTTAAGCCCCACACTCTACCTCTAGGAGGTGGGTCTAACTGCCTCTCACTGAATGTGAAGGGGAGTCTAAGTGACTCACTTCTTTTCTAGTGAACAGAATATTGCAGAAAAGAAGCTCCGCCGCTTAGGGGGGTTGGTGCAGCTAAAAGGACACAGTCTTTTCCTGCTCCCTTCCTCCCTCCCTCCATCTACCCTCACCCCACTTGCCCGTTGCTTGCCTTTGAAGTCAAGTCAATATGTGGAGAAGCTCAGGAAGTATGCAGAGTCCAATGCAGAGAGAACTGGGGTCCTTCATAATGGCTAAGAGATGCCTTCCACATAGTGAACAATCTGGCTATGGAGACTCCAGACCCAGGCTGGGGAGATGGCTCATTCGGCAAAATGTCTGCCAGGAAAGCATGAGGACCTGAGTTTGGATCCGCAGAACCTCTGACAAAGGCCAGGCACAGGAGCTTGTGACTGTAATCTCAGCCCTAGCGGGTTAGGGTACAATGGGCAGAGACAGATAAATCCCTGAACCTCATTGGCCAGACAGAGTAGCCAAATCGATGAGTTTCAGGTTCAGTGAGAGACTTTCAAAAACTATATATAGGGGATAATCATGGAAGATACCTCCATTCTTCACTGGAGCACACATGTTAAAAAAGGAAGGAAAGAAAGAAGGAAAGAAAGAAAGGGAGCTTAAGTAGTAAAAACAAATTATTGTTACAAATGCATTTTAGCTTGGAAAGAAGTAAACTTTCTTGGCCACGCCCTTCCTTGGGGTTCTACCAGCTCAGAGAACTGGGGACCTCTTTCTCAGGGAGATGTGTCTCAGGAACCCGAGTGGGATGAGGGGCTCTGTGGGGGCTGGTACTGTTCTTTCATGTGTTACAAGTTAGCAGCTAGCTTTCTTTCTGGGGACAGCTTGAGGGAAATGAACTTTTTGTATCATTTACCTAGCATAAAGTTGCTACATCTCGGGATCAGTGGCCCCTGCAGACCAGTGATCCTTTAAGTTCTATGAAGTGCTGCTTTGGGGATGCTGAGAGCATGGCTAAGCACGAAATCTTAGTGGAGCTGCCTGGGTTTGCATCCTTGCTCTGCATTTACTAAGTACACACCCCAGGCCAAGTTATCTTACTTCTCTGATCCCCAGCTTGCCTGTCTGTAAAACAATAATAATAATAATAATAATAATAATAATAATAATAATAATAGCACTTACCTCAGGGCTGGAGAGATGGTTGAGCAGTTAAGAATGCTTACTGTTTTCTGTTCCCAGAACCCAAATGCTTCTGCTTACAAGTGTTATAACTCCAGCTCCAGGGGATCTCACACCTCCTTCTGGCCTCTGTAGGTACTACACTCTCATTAACACACACATACACACACACACACACACACACACACACACACACATATATATAAATTTAAAATAAAACCTTAAAGAATAGTAACAGTATAAAGGTGTCTGGCATACTGTGCTATTTGTCAGGAATTAGAAACAACACAGACTATGAATATAAATCAGAAGGAATTTGGATTTACACTTTATTATTCTCTGCAACTCAGTTTCTCTTCTGTATAAACTGGGTTAAGAATTTCTACTTTATCCAGATGCAGTGGGGATTAATTGAGATGGTAAATATAGAAGGCTACGAATGACATTGGTCCATGAAAAGTGCTATCATTTTAGCGGGTGGCAGCTGTGACTTCTGCCCTCAGATGGATTCAACCATGTATAGCCCTAAACTCATAGGTCCTGGTTATTGGCCAGTAAGGAGATGAAGGAGAGTGCAATGCATGGAACAGATGGGTAGAGGATGATGACTGACTTCCTGTTTGTGAGCAGGTTCTAGACAGAGTACCCTTAGCTGAATGAGACCTGTCTTGTATAGGTGAGTATGAGTTGTGAACTGATAGAACAAATACTCGTGATATAGCTGGACTGAGTGACTTCCAGGTCCTGGGAAGGAGATGTCTCCTTAACCAGTCTCCTCCCCACCCCTTCCCCCTCCTCCCCCTTTCCTTTCTTTTCCCTCCCTCCCTTCTCCTCCTCCTTCATCTTCTCCTTCTTCTTCTTCCTGCTCCTGCTCCTCCTGCTCCTCCTGCTCCTCCTCCTCCTCCTCCTCCTCCTCCTCCTCCTCCTCCTCCTCCTCCAGACAAGCTCTAATACTTTAGCCCAGGATTTCCTGAAACTTGTGCCACTCCTCCTGCCTCAGCCTCCTGATTGCTGGGATTATAGGCCGGTGCCACTACTCCTGGCTCCAGTCGAACAGACTTTGTTGAAGAAAAGTTTTTTAGTATACACATCAAAGAAAGTGTGTATTGAAGGAAGGAGTTGTATAATGTACTGGCCAAGGAATTATAGCACACCACGAATAGCTTTGAATGTTAGTAAGAATAAGAGAACATCAAATCGCCAGGAGCAAACTGGAGTCTGAAGGGTAAGCAGCCTGTCATGGGCAAGACAAACAGTGGTTTAGAAATTTTACCCACTAGGTAGGCTGGCTCTGCTATCAGACTTAAAATATTCTTATTTATTTACATATGTGAATGTTTTGCCTGCATGTATGTACAGTGTTTATGCCTGGTGCCCCCAGAACTGGAGTTACAGACTGTTGAAAGCCACCACGTACAGTAGCCTGGTCCTCTGCTAGAGCAGCGATTGGACTTTATTTGGTGGTGTTATAGGAGATTATCTGGAAAGAAATACTCCTGCCACAGTTTTAAAGCGAAAAATAGTCGTGTATTTTCGAATAGTCTGTCTAGGTGGCTGAGGTTCTTATTGCCAGCCTGTCATATTACTGCATACAAACCAGAAATAATACATTTGTACTTGACTGTGGTGGACATATATACAGGTGAGAAAATTGTATAGAGTTAAACAGATACACACCGATGTGTACAAGTAGATCTGGAAAATCTGCACGAAAATTAATAGCCTGATTGTGATATAATTTTGGCTGACATGGCACGGGGAAGAGCTGGGCAAAGCGAACAAAGAATGCCTCTGTATTACTTTTTACAACGGATTGGGAGTCTTCAATTCTCTTGACATAAACTTTTAAAAATGCTCCAATGAACGATATTTTTGCCTTAAAAACGCTTTAGTAAACGTTGTTTCTAAGCAAATGCGCTGCAGTGAGTCCCACTAGCTTTCCTGAGTTATGTACACTCCGGGAATCCTCCGGCACAAAACAGGCGCCATTAGTTTGTTCTGAAGCCAAAGCTGAAAGAAGGAAGTCCCGGTACGGGAAGGGCTCTCTCCTTTCTGGGAAACTACGGACTGCAACCGGCCCAAGCTGCCAGCATGTCTGTCCCGGCTACCGTTAACTTTAACCGAGTTTCTGAAGTACTGCAGTGTTGCCCACTCCAAAAACAGAGTTCAAACCGTTTATGATTGACCCTCACTTTTTCCCTAAAGGGACGGCCCGGAAAGACTTCTATTATTTTTTATTTTATGTAACCGGGCGCAGGACTTCTGTAGAGTGCAACTCGCAGCACGGCAAGCGAGAACTCTGGGAGGCTCCAACCTTAGTCTGCAAAGCCTAGGATTTGCGCGATCACCATGAACTTGGGTAAAGCGAAAGGGCTAAGGGAGGAGTGGCTGGCTGGAGAAGCCGCCCGCCCGGGCCTCAGTTTCCAGAAGAGCAATCTCCCCTCTAACCCGGGAGCGCCCGTACCTGCGCGCACCCAGAGGGGGGAAACTGAGGCACAGTAAGCGGAGGCGGGCACGCCCGGCCTTCGCAGAGCCCGGCCGCCCCGCCTCACACCGCACAAAGCCTGGAGCGCGCGCCACCGCGCGCGGCCCGCTCCCCCGTGGGCGCCAAGCCCCGCCCCGCGCTCCCCGCCCCACACACATGACGTCACCGCGGCGGCAGGCCCCGCCCCACCCGGCCCCGGCGGCATGACGTCACCGAGGCCCCACCCCTCCGGAGCGAGTTCGGTCCTGGCGTTCATTTCATTCCTGTCCTCATTCCGCACATTCTTCGCATCGCTCGCGCCGCGCCGCGCCGCCCGAGCCGAGCCGAGCCTCCGCGGCCCCGCCGCCCGCCGCGGGCGCCCCCCAGCACTTCGCACAGTCGCTTCCAGCCCGCGGGGAGTCCGCGCGCCGGGGCCCGGGCCCGGGGCGGCCGCGGCGGGGCGCAGGCCATGCGCTGACCCCCCAGCGCGCAGCGTCGCCCGAGCGCGGGCAGCTGCCCCGGCGCGCCCTGCCTGTCCCGGGAGCCGGCGAGGCCGGCCTGGGACGGCCCGGCGCGGGAGCACCGCGGGGAGTACCGGCTGGAGCAGCGCAGGGGCGACGGCCCAGCGCCCCGAAGTTTGCCGCGCCCGCTTGGGCGGCCGAGGTAAGTTGCGCGCGGGGCGGACGCGGGGGCGCGGGCTGCCTAGGCGTCACCGCGATCGGCGCTTTGTGTGCGGCTCCCGGGGCTCTCGGAGGGGAGCGGCCGCGCCGCCCTTCAAGTTGGGCCGCAGCCCCGCGCGGCAACAGGCGGCTCCGCTCCGCTCTTCTGCGCGCCCCTCTCTCCCCGCGTTCCTCTCTCTCCCGCGCTCTTCGCTCCTTGTCCTGGAAGCGCGGAATTCCGCGCGATCGCGGGTGGGGAGAGCGTCCGGCGCGCAGTCTACAGCCTGCAGCTCGGCGACTCCCCCGGCGCCCGGCCCCTTCGGGGTCCGCGCCGACCCGGGCTCCTCCTCCCCGGAGATGAAAGAGGGCTCTCTCGCCCTTGCCGCCTCTCCAGCGCTGCCGCCGCCGCCGCCAACGCCGCTCCAGTGCACATTCAAGTGGAAAATTTTCAGGAGTCAGCAGAAACATTGTGTCCAAAAAAGACTGAGTCGCAGTTACCACCAAACCCGGGAGCCGACTCTCCCTGGAAAACTTCCCCTCGGTAGGAAATACTGGGGGATTTGTTTGTTTATTGGAGGAGAAACGATCCCCAGGAGGGCAGAAAAATCTGGGGACACTTTTAGCCTTTGTTTGCGGCAGCACCACTTGTTTTCGAAGTCCAGAGGCTCGTTTGAAAGAAAGTTGAACTTCTAGGAGTTTCTTTTTTCCTTTTTAAATGTATTTTTTTTAAAACCAAAGCTACATTCTAAGTTGAAAACAATGAGGGGCTCGCATTTATCTTCCCACGAAAATAAAACCCAGACCACAGTTTTCCTCTCTTTTTAATCGTCTTTCTTTTTAAAGATTTGAAGTTGAATGGTGTCACCCGTATAAAAATATTTATGAAACAATGAAATACCAGCCACCAGCGTTTCTCAGGAGGCTTGTTAAGTTCTTAGAAGCTGTCTGTGATTTACAGAAATGCAAATTGATCTCAGTCAGCGCTGGAAACTTACAGATATTCCAGGAATCGGGAGCGTAGAAAGGCCGGGTTTTAAAATAGCGCATTTGAAAGGAGCCGAGGTCCTTGGAGCAAAAAGGTCTGTAAATATGATCAGATTTCAAAATAGTGAAAGGAAAATATTTCAATTCGTACAGATAATGCAAAGTAACAGAACTCGATCTCCTCTCCGCCTTGTGGCCTGGATTCGTTCTGGAAGTTTAGGTGCTCTGGTGGCTTAGGGTGTGCTAAGTACCTGCAGGTGGTTCCCCGGGTGGACAGATCCTTCCCGTTAGGGAGCCGCGATCTACCCGGAGTCAAGGGGTGGCTTGTCTGTGCAAGCCTGAGCTCTTGGGTGGGGGCTAATCTGCCTTGAGACTGGGGCTGGAAATAGTCCTCAGGCTGCACAGACTGCCAGGGGCTTCCGCCTTTCAGCTTAGTATGCGCTTTTCTGTGAATAGCAGGATCTTTGGGCCCAGACACATCTGAATGCTTATAAGGGTCCGACTTAGATCCAACTTTGGTAAGAATCTTTCCTCTTTAGAAGGAAACAGTAGAGCCAGTTAGAGCACGGTTCTGAGAAAGACAAATGCGTTTAGTTGAACCTTTGTCAAAAGCAGGGTTTTAAATTGTTGATGATTTTAAGGGGGAAAGGCGTATTTTTCTAATCTCTGTATTTCCATAAATGGTCACAAGATATTTTTGTGTAGTATTTCTTTGAATGTGCAACTGTGCTGGACTCTAAGGTTTCAGGTTTTCAACAGTTTGCAATTCTTTTATTTGTTGTTGGTATAAAAAAATGAACTGATAAGCTGTCTCCGTTACTGGGTCTTGCTGATGTCCTCAGTAAACCATTTTATTTTCAGTTTAATGGCAAGTATTGTTGAAACTGCAGACTTAGGGAAATATTAGAATACTTTTTATTTTTTTAAACAAGTTTGAAACAAAGCCAGAGAGACACTTTGCCTTTACAAAAGAGTTAAAAAAGGGGGGGGGGCAGAATCTTTGTGTGAGTTCCTCCTTCCTAGGATTCTTTATAAACTCTAGAGAACACTCTGGGATTATTGGAGATTTTGTACAAGCAAAGGCCAGTATTTATGTATATAGTTAGTGACCTTTAATCTGAAGCAGGCGGACATCCTAGCGTAGTAGTCTGACCCAGGCTGCAGGAACTCTGAATGAGTAACTCGCTTCTCCTGTGGGACAGTGTCTGCTTCCCACACAGCACTGTGAAATGGGGAGGGTGGGCTTGCAAGGGTCACCTGGTGGGGAGTCAGCTTCCTGCCCCTCCTGCTTCCCCCCCACTTGCTGCATACAGCTGGAATTATATGTTCACTTTGGGTGCTGGCATCTTCTGATTAGGGAAGAAGATAGAAAACTAAGAGAAAAACGTATTTTAGTTCAGTAGTACATAACCAGTTTTGATTTTAGTTGGTTCTGATAGACACAGAAGCAAATGTAAGAAGGCATATCTTCATGGGACTATCTGGGGAGGAATATCCGTGGTATCACTGGTGTCTAGACTGTGTTTGGCAACATATTGTCAGTGGACACGTATATAACAAGAGCAGTTACAAGAATGGAGACCCCAAGCATGAGACGGGCCATTAGCAGCATTAGGGAGTTGCCTGCTTTGGAAATGGATAGATCCTCTCCGCCCCCAATCCATGGCGGGTTGTAAGAGAAGAGCCTGAACATCTGTAGGATTGTTTTCCCTCTTTAATCTCATGTGTTACGGGTTAATTGTGAGGGAGCATAATTACACTGCTCGCAAATGGAAATTGTGATGGTGTTTTCTCCCTCCAGAGGTCCGTACAGATAACCGTGTATGATCGGTGGGCTTAAAAATGATGACCATGAGCCCCTCACTTCGAAGCTACCATTTTTTTGCTACTTCATTCTGTTCTCCAATAAAGGGAGTGTGAAAGCAGAAAAAAAGTATATGTTTCTGAGTAAGAGCTGTGCAGAATCTGTTGAGTGATAAAACTTTGAGTAGGGTCTGCGCCCCCCTCCCCCAGGTTTAGGCCAGTGCTCACTCCAGCTTCCCCCCCCCCCCCCAACTGCAAGAAAACACCGTTTTATTGTTAATCAAGGCAGGCCCAGCTTCTCTTTCAGAGTTTGGTGACTGGAATTGCAGGCTGCTTATGCCCTACTTCTGAACTCAGCAAGAAAAATACATTGTTGCTCACCCACATTGATCAACATAGGTTGTGCTTGGCTGTCTGGGCATTGGTGTTAGCTGCTGTCATGTTTTGTAGCTTCGTGTTGCCTTTTCTTAGCTGTAGAGACTTTTAGCTCATCTTAATTTTTAAGTTAGAACCTAAATCATGTAGTATTGATATGCTTTGTTTCGTATTCATTAAAGTATAAGATCAAGCAATCAGGTCTGTCCTTAGCACCGTCTCAGGGCTGGGCTGTTTGATTTAGACCTGTCGTGTGGCAGCTATGGTGCATATCTGAACAGGGTATTCCACCCTGCTGGCTTCCAGGGCCTAGTGTGTAATGCTGGAATATTTGGGTCTTCGTTTTTTGGAGGATTTTTATTTAGTTTCAAAGCTGTGAACCTAGTTGCCAGTCCTTCGAGGCTCTCTTTTATGGGTTTCCTTAATGCTGTCTCATGTTTGAACTTGAGGTTGAAATGTGATCATTTCTTCAGAAATGTTCAGTCTTTGCAGTGGGGCAGAATAGGAGAATCTTGTAATGTGTATTTTTTTACTTGCTCCAAGTGAATGGTAAGCCTTGGTTTTGCAGGGCAGGGATTGGGTCAGTGTTTCCCACAGGATGGGTTACTCTCAGATCCCAAGTTCCCATTTTGTTCACTTCTGCAGTTGGGTGTCTCAGGATGGTTTCCTCAGTCTAGGGGTGGGGGATAATAGGTCTCTCTTCTGATTGGACAATGGGAGTGTTCTCCAGAGAAGCTGTCTTTTCAGTTTTGTGGCAGTCCAAGGGAGGATTGTGCATCCACCCACCCCCATTTCAAGCTGGTATTTGTTATCCTAGTGCTTTCTACCTCCTTTCCATATTCACTTTAGTTTTTCAAGGCTCTTTACTATGATTTCATTAGCTTTTTTTTTTTCTCTTTCTGAAGCAGGTCCTATATAGCTGATTTTCAGTTTACTGTGTAGTTGAGGATGATCCTGAACTCATGATCCTCTTGCTCTGCTGCTCAAATGCTGGGATTACAGGCTGGATTACACCATTACACCATTCTGGGTTTATACCTTTGCTTGGGATTAAACCCTGGGCCTCACCAATGATAGGCAACTCCTGTAACAACTGAGCCATATAGTCAACCCTGTATTAACTTTTTCTTTTTTTTGGTTTTCAAGACAGGGTTTCTCTGTGTAGCCTTGCGCCTTTCCTGGAACTCACTCTGTAGTCCAGGCTGGCCCCAACTCACAGAGATCCGCCTGGCTCTGCCTCCCGAGTGCTGGGATTAAAGGCGTGCGCCACCACCGCCCGGCTTTTTTTTTTTTTTTTTTTTTTTTTGAGATAGGGTTTCTCTGTGTAGCTTTGGAGCGTTTCCTGGGACTCACTCTGTAGCCCAGGCTGGCCTCGAACTGACCGAGATACACCTGCTTCTGCCTCCCGAGTGCTGGAATTAAAGGCGTGCGCCACCACCGCCCGGCCCTGTTTAACTCTTTTTAATTAGGAAGAGAGGGTGTTGGAAACGAGCTTAGACTTAAATGTGAACTAATTTACTGATGAAGAGGTTAAGCATCCACCTCTGCAGGGGGACGTTCTGGGGACTTCTAGGATCTGGCAGCTTTATATGTACATGCAAAAGATGACTGTGGCACTGAGCTCTTACAATACAGGACAGTACTGATAGATAAACTGAAAAACGGCTGCTAATGGTGGGAAATGTTGATTATGTGAGAACATACTGAACTTATATTCTCTGGCATGAACTTTTTAAAAAAAATACATAAACTGTACTGCCTTTTAAAAATATAGGCACAGCTTTCTAATTATCATAATTCAGTTCAGCTTTGCTCTTGGATGGAGTTCAAGCGTAATCTCAA